ATGATGTGAATTGGAGCTATAGAAATAAACTGAATAGAATTTAATAGAAAAAATAAGCTCCATTTTCACAATGACAGACCGCTAAACGGAACCGTTGTCAACAGTGGAATATTTCCGGGTTTCATGAAAAAGACCAAGAACAGACAAAGACCATTTCTCAATATGTGTACCTGTGCGTTCTCGTGTACTCATGAAACGCCATCAGCCTCAGCTAACGTTAGCCCGACGTGTGTGAAGTACTGCTGGCTCTGATGGAGGTTTGATTGTTTTATTTGGCAAAATGTTCATTTGATTTGTTTTTATCTGACTGTTAATCATTATTTTCATCATTCCCAAAAATGAAAAAAGTCAGAATTTAGTGATCAAAGTGAATCAAATTCAAAGAACGTGTTGAAATTGATAAGATGAATGATCCAGACCACATTTTATGAAACTGAAGGGTCGTCCAGCAGAGCAGAAGCATCCTGTCCCATTGGACCACCAAACATTTCTCCAGAAGTTCCTGATTTCTCCTCCTACAGTCTTAATACACGTGGTACCTGATCTTTAAGATTCCAAAGAACCAGCCCTCAATGGTTAACTGGTGCCAAACCAGTTTGGACTGCCCTATTGGAATTAGGAAGCTTTGTGTGCTATTGGCTAATTGTGGCTAATTGTGGGAACAGGATGGCTGTAAAGGACATGAAGGTCTAAGCAATACGGTTAAAGAAAATAAATATAGTTGAAGTAATATTAACATTAATGAACATTATTTACAGCTCAATCAGTAGTTTCTCAGCGCTTCACACAAAAGTACAAAGATAAAGATGCAAATAATAAATATTAAAGTTAAAGATTAAATATTGGTTATAAAATCTGGAGATGCTAACTTTGTGACTCTTGGTTCAATATTAAAGTTTTCTCAATATTAACTCTTTTGCTTAGTTTAATTTATTTATTGTTTTTTTTGACTGGCTGCAAATTTACAAGCATCCACTGTGAAATATGTGATGCATGCTACTGTACGAGCTAACTGTATGTAGCAACATAATCAGACTCCTGCTCTGATTGTAAGTGAAACGATAAACTAACATCCTTACAGGAATCTTTAAAATCAACCTTTTCTCAGTGACCTGCCACCTCGATGCATGGAATGATGGTGATGATCCTTCTTCTTCATCTTCCAGGTCAGGGCTGCAGCCAGCCTCTTGAACCCGGTCCATGTCGACAGTACACAGTCAGGTGGTACTACGACCCAGAGGCCAACGCCTGCGCCCAGTTTTGGTTTGGAGGTTGCCACGGCAATGCAAACAACTTTGAGAGTGAAGTGAACTGTAGGAATGCCTGCATCTACACGTAGCCGATCGGCTGCAGGGAGGCTGGGCCTGCTGCCAATCAGATTCCTTCAGGACTGATAAGAGGACAACACCTGCAGCACACCATTTTAATCCGTTTTAATCACTTGATTTACAGTTTGAAATGTGGAATGACAGGTTCCACTCTTGATACGCCCCCATAGATCATAACCAGATCATTTAATGCTCTTCAGTTTGGTCCTAAAGTTAAACCAGTAATGGCACCGAGTTAAACCGCCTCACTTGGTCATGAGGAATTATAGTGAATCCAGATTTAATTTCATTTCACAAATGCAGGACTAGTTTTCTCAGGAATATATTATATAAAAAGATCAATCTTCAGTCTAGTTTTAGTGTAACTAATGTAAGTATAAATATATCTGGTTTGTTTTTATATCAAAGCAACATTAAAATAAACATAAAAATCTTAAACATATAAGATCCATAAGAGTTCTTTAAAGTTATTGTTTACTGTTAAGTATTTGTCAAAAAATGATACCTGTAGCACAGATACTAACATTTCTGATCTAATTCACGGCAAACATCAAATGCTGCCAGAGATTTCCTGGGGAAGAAGCTTTAACTGCGTTCCATCCATTAATGGCGGGGATGTTTATGACAAACGAGTTGACCTCTGATCATCAGGTGCCGCTATCCTGCAACTTTTAGATTTATCTCTGAATCAAACGGCTGATTTACCCTCTCATCATGCATCATGTTCAACTAATAGCCCGATTATTTGCACTGTCCACGGCGCAGTGGGACATGAGTTCATCCCATATCCAGCTTATGGCAAGTTTAGGTTTAATAGGAGTGTGCCAGGATAAATGTTACACATTAGCTTAAACTATTTACCATTAATGGTGTTGGCAGCATCATGCTGGGGTTGACTGGAAGAACATGGGGATGAATCCAGGAAAATCTTGAAAATAAACCTTGCAGAAACTGCAGAGCACTTGGAACTAGGATGGAGATGAACTCTCCAGCAGGACCACCACCCTAAACATCCATCTACAGCAGGACCGGCAAACCAAGCTGCTCTGCTTTGAGGGGAAAATGGCAGAAAGTTCCCATCCCTGCATCAGAGCGCTACCTGTTGGATCTATGAACGGTTTTCTATGCTTCAACCAAACTAGCAGCAGTAGTTTGGAGATGCAATCTACTTCTTAAATCTTTGCTCTCCTCTAATTTATCCAGAAGTTCTTCAGTCGCTCTTTTTCTCTTCCTGGGCTGCAGATTTAGCCTTCCCTGGAAACGCCTTTCCTAATTACACCATTAAAATGTTTACCAATATATGTTAGACATCATTGGAAAGCTTCGATTCTCCACAATTCAACCACCGAGTTCATTTTATGGACACGGTGAACACCAAAGCACAATCAACACAGATATAGCAGCATGTCAAAAATAAATCCAATCTTCAATTGTTTATACTCCTTCCCTGTCAGCCAGTAGATCGCACAGAGCAGAGCGATATTACGCCTCATAGAGTCCTGCTGTTATTGGTTGAGACCATGTGGGCTGTTTGGGTTGTAGCCAATGAAATAATGTTTCAAACAAGGCTAGACATGGCTGGGTTATATAGAGCAGAGCCT